GCCATACAGGGTAGTACTGGTTTGTACTGGGCTGGACTGAGCCCTGCTGGGCTGTACTGAGCTGTGCTGGTTTGAACTGAATGGCTGTCCTTGGCGGGGGGGGAAGGGGGGGGACATGGGGACACCGCACGGCCAGCATGGTGGGGATGGCGTGGTGAGGATGGCACGGCATGGCCAGCATGGTGGGGACAGCGTGGTAGGGACAGCATGGCATGGCCAGTGTGGCACAGCCAGCATGATGGGGACAGCGTGGTGGGGACAGCATGGCATGGCATGGCATGGCCAGTGTCAAAGGGACAGCACAGTGGGGACAGCATGACCAGTGTGGTGGGGACAGTGTGGTGGGGACAGCACAGCACAGTCAGCATGATGGGGACAGCAGGGTGGGGATGGCAGAGCATAGCCAGTGTGGTGGAGACAGCAGGGTGGGGACAGCATGGCCAGCAGGTTGGAGACAGTGTTGCATGGCCAGTGTGGCATGGCCAGCATGATGGTGACAGTGTGGTGGAGACAGCACAGCATAGCCAGCATGATGGGGACAGCAGGGTGGGGACAGCATCACACCTCTGTCCCATGGGACTTCATGGTGCCAACACAGATGGCCCCTGCTCCCAACCCCTGGCTGGGAACGGGACAGCCAGGACACCTGGGTCCCCCCAACTCCGGGTGTAGGGGGCAGCCTTGTCCCCCCAGCTACCCTAGACACAGGGGTGGGGTTGGGGACACTCACGGTGCTGAGGGGCAGTGCCCGCATCACCCGGTACTGCTGCCGGGGGTCCAGCTTGTAGAGGTGCTGGTCTGTCACGAGGATGGCCCGGTCCCGGCTCTTTCCAAAGTGGTTGATCTGTGGGGACAGGGACAGGTGAGGGGACACGCCAGGGGGGGGTCACAGAGGTGGTGGCCAGGCAAGGCCCCCCCTTTTTCCCACCCTCACCTTACGGACATGGCAGGAGAAGAGGATGGAGCCAAAATGCACCTTGTCCTTGAGGGCCTGGAGGCGGCGGGCGAAGGGCAGCGCCAGTGCTGGGTTCTCGCTGGGCTGTGGGGAGCCATGGTGTGGGGTGGGGGTGGCACCTTGGGGTGTGCCATGGGGCATGCCCAAACCCGCCCCAGACCCTTACTGAGGAGAGGTAATCCCGCGCCCAGTTGCGCTGGCAGCCCCAGTCCTTCTGCAGCCCCCCCAGCGCCTCCATGGCGGCCACCTTGGCCCGGATCTGCCCCATCTCCGACGGGGGGATGTTCTTGATGATCTGCCATGCTCGCCACCTGCAGTAGGGGACATGCCGCAGCCACATCACTGGCCCATATCCCCATCCCATGCTCCTGTCTCATTCCCATGTTCCCATCCTACGTCCCCATCCTACATCCAAGTCCTACATCCCAATCCCAAGTCCCCATTCTATGTCCCCAACCCCATCCCACATTCCCATCTCATGTCCTTGTCCCATGTCCCCAACCCCATCCCACGTTCCCATCCCACATCCCCACCCCACATCCCATGCCCCCATCTCCATCCCACATTCCTGTCCCACATCCCCATCCCACATGTCTGTCCCGTGTCCCTGTCCCATCCCACAATCTCGTCCCATGTTCCTGTCCCACATTTCCAACACATCCCCGTCCCACATCTGCATTTCACATCCCCGACCCCATCCCACATTCCCATCCTATGTTCCCATCTCATGTGCCTGTCCCACGTCCCCATCCCACATACCTGTCCCTTGTCCCCATCCCCGTCCCACATCCCCATCCCATGTCCCTGTTCCCATCCCACATCTCACATCCCTATCCCACATCCCCATCCCATCGTTCCCATCCCACATCCCTATCTCATGTGTCTGTTTGCATCCCACATCCCATATTCCGGTCCCATGTCCCTGTTCCCATCCCATATCTCACATCCCTATCCTACATTCCCATCCCACGCCCATATCCCACGTCCCCATCTCTGTCCCACTTCCCCATCCCATCGTTCCCATCCCACATCCCCATCCCATGTTCCCCTTCCCATCCCACATCCCCATCCCATCTCCTTGTCCCATGTCCCCGTCCTGTACCACATCCTCATCCCACATACCCGTTTCCATCCCACATCCCCATCCCTGTCCCACATCCCCATCCCACATCCTTGTACCACATCCCCGTCACATCCCACATCCCTATCCCACATTCCCATCCCATGTCCCTGTCCCATCTCCCTGTTCC